CGAAAACTATTGAATTAAAAATTTTTAAAAATCCTTTACATTAACATGTTACTTAAACTTGAAAAAAAAAAATCAAGCTCTCTGAAATTATACACTTCTGGGGAGCTTCTCTAAAACAGAATGGATTTTTGAAGCAATGTATTCTTTTCCTGGAATTGCTTTGTCCCATAGGAGTATAAACACCTACATTTTCCTTATGGGAGGAAAAAACATATTTCAAAAGGAGAAGAAGCCAGAATTGGGAAAATAGCAGGGAAACATATTTGCACATATAAAATATTGAGAATACACATTTGCAGAGAAATGAGAAGGTGCCTCCATTTTCCCAAAGCTTTGGCAGGGCTGAAAAGTGTTACTTTAATCCTGTTATATTGACTCTCAGCATGTTGTCATATGTTTGGCAAAGTGGTATTTTCCATGTGCAAATAATGTTTTTACAAAATAAGATTTCCCGTTGTTTCATTTCATGTGCTTGTTTTGAGCACTTCTTCATTTAACACACATTTTACAAAGTGCTTTTGGCATTTTAAGTTTTTAGTACTTAAATGGAAATAAGAAATGTCCCTGTTATTCATGGACTGTTGGGAAGACAGGTATGTATGGAAAGTACAGAAAATGTGATAAATGTTGAGCACAGAGAATGAAACTCTTCATGTTAGGGAGAGGTGATCTTGGAAAGCTTCCTGGAAAAATGTAGTATGTGAATTGGGTCTTCGATGATAAGCTAAACCAGGGTATGCTGCCTCATTCCTGTAATCCCACCTACTTGGTAGGCTGAGGCAGGAGGATTGCTTGAGCCCAGGGATTTGAGGCTGCAGTGAGCTCTGATCATGTCACTGCACTCCTTCCTGGGTGACAGAGTGAGACCCTGTCTCTTAAACAACCAAAAAGAATGAATAAGGCTGGGTGTGGTGGCTCACACCTATAATCCCAGCATTTTGGGAGGCCTGAATGAGAGCATTGCCTGAGCCCGGGAGTTTGAGACCAGCCTGGGCAACATAGTGAGACTTCATCTCTACAATAAATTAAGAAATTAGCCAGGCGTGGTGGTGTAGTCCCAGCTACTTGGGAGGCTGAGACAGAAGGATCGCCTGAGCCCAGCAGGTCAATGCTGTGGTAGCTATAATTGTGCCACTGCACTCTAGTCTGGGCGACAGAGTGAGTCTGAGTAAAAAAAAAAATGAATGAATAGAATAAAATTAGAGATGGTTATTATGGGATACACACACACACACACACACACACACACAACTCCATACACAAAAATTTTTTTGAAGGACTTGCAACACACACACACACACACACACACACACACACACACACACACACAACTCCATACACAAAAATTTTTTTGAAGGACTTGCACAGTGCAGCTTATCCTTTTCAAATCCTGCCATTATGCTACACAGAAAGCCAAGATGACCATTTGAAAGGTCACAAGAAGAAAAAAACTAGTTCCCTGGCCAACATCTCCAGCTATAAGAATGAGGCCATCTTAGTCCCTCCAACCTTCAACTTCATCTCACTACAATTGCATGAGCAGCCCAGGCAAAACTAGCAGGAGAACAACTAATCAACTCACAGAATCTTGAAAAATAATAAATGGTTGTTGTTTTAGGTCACTAAAAGAAAAAAAAAGAGTAGGAGTGGAAAGGAAGACCTGATTCTTGCTGCCATTTTGGCATGCGGGGTCATAAGAGCAGGCGTTTATGGAGCACTTCCTATATGCTAGGCACTGTTCTAAGTACTTTCTGGGCATTATCTCACCAAATTCTCACAACAATCTCGATGAGAAAACTGAGACACAGAGAAGGCAAGTAACTTGCTGAAGGTCACACAGCTAGTAGGTGTCTTTGAACCTCTGCTCACAGCCCCCTCTCTAGTCCTGGGAACCAGAAGAAAAGAAACCTGCACCCCTGTCACAGCTTCCCTTCCAAGCTGGAGACGAAGACTGTGACACCTGAATGTCACAAGCATGCCGAGGTATGGGTCTGTCTGCCCTCATGTCTACTGGGTCCCTTGCCAGCCCTCAGTCCAATACTTATCATTTTGCTGTAAAAACATGATGTTTCTGTGTGCGTTAGCTCTTATGGTCCTACCACCATGCAGCCCGGTCAGGAGATAAGTCCATGTACACCTGAATGCTGCTTCTACCCTCTGATACACTCGTGCTTCTTAGAGGTGCATGCTGTCCAGTGGGCCCCTCCTCTCTCCTCCTCATCCACCTCCCTTCCCAGTACTGTTCCTCAGCTGGTATGGGAATGGTATGGGAAGCACTTCTGGTGTCCTTTTCCCCTTATGTCTGTCCACGATCCTGGGAGCTTTTGAACATTTCATTTCCTTGACTGTTTCATTTTTGGTGTTTTGTTTTGTTTTGTTTTTTGAGTCAGGGTCTCATTCTGTCACCCAGGCTGGAGTGTAGTGGCACAATCACAATGATCCTGGTTCACAGCAGCCTTGACCTCCTGTGCTTAGGCGATCCTTCCACCTAAGCCTCCCGAGTAACTGGGACGACAGGTATGCACCACCATGTCTAGATAATTTTGTTATTTTTTGTAAAGACGAGGCCTTGCTATGTTACCCAAGCTGGTCATGAACTCTTGGGATCAAGCAATCCTCCCACGATAGCCTCTTAAAGTGCTGGGATTACAGGTGTGAGCCACCACACCCAGCCTTCAGTGGTTTTACTTCTCCATTCCATTTCAGCCAGGACCCCACTCTCATATAGCTCTTCATCTGTGGTTATTTGTTAAAACATCTGTCTCTGATGATAGCCTCCATCTCTCTGCCTTGCTCTATCAGTGACTCCCATTACACCTACTCCTGGACCCTCAGGCCAGTGACATCAGCCTTTCTGAAATTTCTCTAACTCCCCTATCCAGAACACATCCTGTGGCTCACTGTTTTTAGCACTCTGAAAAGGTAAGATCTGAAACTCCTGGGTCCCATTACAACTGTCTGGCAAAATCCCTTCCTTGGATTAACTCACTTTCTCATTCATTATGTGCTTGTGTCTTGGCCGCTCCTGCTAGCCACAGAAAAACTACACAAGCCCTCATTTTGGTATTACCATAAGTTCAGTCTCCATTCTCAACTGGTCCCTCAATACTGTCCTTGAAATTGTGCCATATATCCCTGCACGCCAACTTGTCATACTACAGTATTTCAAACCCATAGGCAAACTTGACTGTAAACTTCTTGAGGGCAAGGTCCCTCTCCGGTTTTTTCACCACTGAATCTTCAGGAACTAGGCTTGATATATAACAGGCACTCAATAAGCATCCATCTACAGACTGAGGTATAGTAATAGTGGTAAGCATCCAGTAAATGTTAGCCTCATGTTGGGCTCTGTTCTATGGGAGTTATGTAAATTAGCTCATGTAATCTTCACAACAAAGCAAGGGGATGAGTTAGGAATTTTTTCATTCCCATTTTACAGATAAGGATATTAAGAGAGGCAGGTTGGAGAGAAAGAAGTATGAGTATTAATCTTTAGACCATATAAATGCTGAGCAGGTCCAGTTGATTTTAGTTTTAGGTGGGTTGAGCTTTAGGTATCTGAGGGACAATGGCAAGAGGGAGGAAAATGGAGAGTAAGATTTAAGAGAGAACAGAAACTTAGTGACTTCAGAAAATTGAATAGCCAACTTTGTTCACACCTGTTGCTTAGAGCATCTCCAACAGGTTGCTGATGGGACTGTGGTGGCAAGTGCACAAGAGTGCATCTGGGTGCTGAGGTGCATTTTACCCCCCAGTACAGACATGTGGTGAGAAGATACCAGTCATACATAGTCATGCAGTGTGGTAAGAGACCAATCATATATAACATTCACCACATAAGGACATTTTGGTCAGTGATGGACTGCATGTAGGATGGTAGCCCCACAGCACTATAATACCATGCTTTTACTGTATCTTTTCTGTATTTAGATATGTTTAGGTACACAAATACTTGCCATTGTGTTACAATTGCCTATAGTATTTAGTACAGTAGCATGTTGTACAGGTGTGTAGTTCAGGAGCAATAGGCTATACCAGACAGCCTAGGTACGCAGGAGGCTAGACCATTCAGTTTGTCAATGTACACTCTATGATGGTCGCACCATCACGAAATCTCCTAAAGACACATTTCTCACATCCTTATCATTGTGTGAAGCATGACTGTATTTGAATATACGAGTGGATCCACGATGTATTTGTTGGTGACTTTAAAACTGGGTGGGGCTCCCAGAGCTGAAATTCAACCTTGCGTTTTTCTTTTGCTAAGATGCTTTTTGTGAGACTTCCCAGACTGCCAGGCAGGAGAGCACTATCACTGCACTGCTTGAGTCTTTGAGTCCTTTCCTCCCACTTCACTGTGGCTTTCCCCACTTGAGAGATAGAGAGCTCACCAACACTGAGCTCTTGGTCTGTATCAGTTCTCCTTCATCTTACTGAAACTTCACAGCAATTGTTGAGGAAGATTATTATAATCTCCACATTACAGATTATAAGAGAAATAATATTCACTGTGTTTATTATGCGTCAGCCATTGTGCTGAGTGTTTTTCAAGGATCATCTAAGTCAGCTCCCACAACAATACGCTGAAGTTGAAACTATCGTTATGGATGGGAAAACCCAGGCTCAGAGAAGAGAGGCGTCATGTCCTAGGACACGCAGCAGGTTAGCAAGTTGGCATCTGAACCCAGGTCTTTTGGACACAGAGGCTAAGTTGCCTCATTATTTATTTCTGGATGAACTAAGGGCTTTTCTTCGGGCTAGTGGGAAGAAGGAAATGCCGCGGAGAAGTCCTAACACTGTTTTCTGCTCAAGGTAATCCACGCGCGAGCGAATCTTGCCAGAACCCCCAGGCAATCTGGTCCAGGCCTCTCCCAGCGCCGGAGAAGCAGCGCGCATGCGCCCGTCTTCCCCTCGGCCCCTCCCCCCGGGAGGGCGCCGCTCTTTGCTTTCGGCTCTGGGGCTTGCGCACTGCGTCCCCAGCCAGAGGCTGCTTCCCGGTCGGGGACTTCCGGAGCGCCGGGGTGTGGTTCCGGGTCGTGGTACGGCTCGGGGCAACAGGGCTGCTGCTTTGCCGGCCGGCGGCGGCGAGCGGCAGGGGCATGAGGGCGAGCCTGGGAAACGGCAGCTGAGCGGGCCAGGAGGAGCGCCGGTCCCGGTGGATCCTGAGAGTGCAGAACTCGGGACAGGGGCCGGGAGGCGTGAGGGAGCCGGGCCCTCCCCTCAGGAGCGTGTTTCGGGGCCGACCTGGCCCGTAGTGTGGGAGCAGCTTCAGGTAAAGGTTGCCCCAGCCGCTGAGCGCCCTTGCTCATCTGTCAGCCCACCAACTCGCCCGCCCTCGGGGCCTTACGGCCCCCTCACTCCATGGGTCTCGGCGCTGACCCGCGGGCCGCCTACCAGGCCCTTGCTCGGGCGGCCCAGGAGCATCCGTTTCCTAGCCCTTTCCAGAACTGTAGGCTGTCATGAGTCTGACAGCCGGGAGTGATTAGGGGAGGAGAAGCTAGCGAACCTGGTCGTGTTGGGGTGGGATTGTGTGCAGTTGGCTTCGGCAGTTTCTGGCCCTGCACTCGTAGGGTGCCCAGGCCTTCGTAATGTGCAAATGTCGGTGCCCTGGTCTTCATAATGTGCAAATCAAATTTGTCCAGCATTGCCTGTGTGGTCCCTGTTTCCTGGGGCTTCTTCCTCCCGCCCCCTACCCCATCTCCTCTAAGGGGTAAACAGTTTGGCAGACTTTTTCCACCTAGAGTGCTGCTGAAACTTTGATTCAGTATTTTGTTTATGAGAGATCTGTTTAAGGCTGAAAAAAAGGTTGTCGTTTAAACAAGAGCATCACTTTAGTTAGAGACCCAAAACATTCGCTCAAATTGGTTGAAAGTTCATTCTGAATGAACTCAAGTTATTTTTGAAGCCCACCACAGTACCTGGCACTGTGCAAAGCACCATGTTATAAATTAAAATCAGCCAAGTTCAAACTTTTCCAGTTGTGAACAGTTAAATGTAGAGATAAATAAGGCAATGCAGAGATAAATGTGAGACACATCAGTTTAAAAAGTCAGCATTCTCATTTTGTTTTGACAAACAGAAGGAGTATACCCCTAACGTTAAAATCCACCAGGGCAGAAAAGGAGGCACTGTGTTTTATTCCTCATACACTATGAACCTACACAAGGTGCTCAGTAAACACTGAAAGAATTCTTAATGAAGCAATAGTTGTTTTCATGTTTTTCGGTTTCCACACTTGCAAGATCTCTGGGGCCTTTAGGGCATACTGGTAGCTCCTTTCCTGTTCAGCTGTGCTCATACCCACTTTCAACTCATGTGCGTCAGACTGCACTTACATTCCTCTCCACCTCGTGATCTGGCTCCTGGCTACCTTTTCCGTTAAGCTTGTACGGTCGCCTTCCTTAAGTACCCAGTCTTGATCTAATACTCTAGATACTAGAATCTCAAACTACTTTTGTTCTTTTCTACATCCATTGTTTTTTTGTAGGACATTCTTTCTACCCTCCGAGAAGGTTTTCTCTTTAACTATTGAGATGCTACCCATGGCCCAGCTGAAGTTGGCTTCCCCCTACCAATTTGGAACAACCCCAGCTGGAAGTGATTTCTTGCTTCTCTAGAATCCTTCAAATGCTTATTACACTGGCATTTATTTCATTTAGCAAACATTTACTGAGTATGGATATGTACCAGGTACCATGTTAAGCAGTGTAGAGATAAATAAGATTCAGTCCTTGCCCGCAAGGAGCTCTATTTAGTGAAAGACATAAGGATATTAATAATTCTAACATAGGGTGATAAGTATGCTGTGTGAGGGTTCTTTTTGTGGTACAGTGGTAGTACAGACGGGAGATGGATCATTAACTTTTGAGGGGTGGGATATGGCCAGGTAATGCTTTAAATGTGAGGTAAACTAAACTTTATTGAGTATTTACTATGTGGAGCGTATTCTATATGAATTTCTCTTGTTTCATCATCTTAGCCTCAATTTAGGAAGACTCAGAATAAATTACACAGCTGGTATGAGACAGAGCCAGGATTCATACCCAGGTCCGTCTGTTGCCTAAGTCTCTGTTCTTTCTGTTGTGTCTTGCCTGCTTTTTCGCACCAGAGCTCTGTTTATGCAAGTACATATTGAAACAAGTATTTGAGAGAAAAAAACATGACAATTAAAATAAATGGTGGCTGGGCTCAGTGGCACAGCCTGTAATCTCAGCACTTTGGGGAGATCGAGGTGAGTGGATTGCCTGAGCCTGCAGATTTGAGACCAACCTGTGCAACTTGACGAGACCTCGTCTCTACAATAAGTAAAAAATTATCCAGACATGGTAGTGTGCGTCTGTAGTTCTGGTTACTTGGAAGACTGAGGCAGAAGGTTTGCCGGAGCCCAGCAGGTTGACGCTGTGAGCATACCACTGCACTGCCTGGGCAATGGAGTAAGACTCCAACTCAAAAAACAAACAAGCAGCCAGACTTGGTGGCTCAGCCTGTAATCCCGCACCTTTGGGAGGCTGAAGTGAGTGGATTGCCTGAGCCCGTGGGTTCGAGACCCGCCTGGGCAGCAAGACCTCATCTCTACAGTAAATCAAAAATCAGCCGGGCCTGGTAGCATGCGCCTGTAATTCCGGCTACTCGGAAGGCTGAGGTGGAAGGATCTCCAGAACCCAGTGGGTCGAGGCTGCGGTGACCGGGAGTGGCCACTGCACTCCAGTCTGGGCGACGGAGTGAAACTCCAACTCAAAAACAAAACAAAAACAAAAAGCAAACAAAAAAGAATAGTACAGAAATCCATTACATGTAGAGAAGACCATGTTTTTCCAAGGAAAGGAGATGGCAAATGGGTCAGCTCAACTTTGCATATGAATAGAGAGGACAGTCTGTAGAAAATAAGCATACACTCTGGATTCAGTTCCTGGTCCTGCCTCTTACTGATTATGTGACTTCTGGCATATAACTCTAAGCATCATTTTCCTCAACCAGGATTTGGGATGGGGGATAATATTGACCACATGTAGTGTTGTAAATTTTTAATGAACTAATGCTGATAAAGGGCCTAGAACATGGTAAGATTCCCAGAAATGAGCTGTAATATACCAAGGTATGATGCTGTGGCATGGTTTTAGCGTAGTGAATGAGTTTACAACCTAAGTAGAGAAAACCATTGTTTCTTTTAACAGAGTACTGGGAGTTAAAGTTGGAGGTACAGTAGGAGTCAGAGTCAAGCTTGAGTGGCAGGCAAGAGAGGTAAATTCCAGTTTTGGGCAACCCCCCCCCCCAGGTCCTCTCCCACTGTGGGAGCTTTTCTGTCCTCTCAGTAAATCCTGCTTTCAAAAATAAATAAATAAATAAATTCCAGTTTCTGCTTATAATTTTTCCAGATAATAAATACTTTGAGGATCTGTGATTCAGCAATGCCAGGCAAAATGTTAGACCATGGGAGTACAAAGAGGATTAAAAATGAATTCCTACCTTGAGGTTGCTGACATTCTGGTGGGAGAGACGTGTGTGTAGATGACCTGTAGTAGAGTACTGTGGTTACTAAGGTAGACGTCCTTATAGGGTACCATAGAGCACAAGGAAGAGAACACTGATGAGGGTAGCAAATGAGTACTCACTCTGTGCCAGCATTGTGTTAAATGCTTTATCTCATTTTTTTCCCCAGGTGTGGGAAGGTGTTGCTAGCATCCTGATTTTACAGATGAGGAAACTGGGATATAGAGAGCTTAAATAACTTCCTTGATTTATACTTCTGGTGGATCTGTGAGCTGGAGGGGTTTTCTGTTAATTCTGGGATCTCCACTGTTTGGTACTGCACCCTGTTGCATGACTTTGCCATGTGGATGAGAACCCTTTGGAGAGGCTTAGAGAGGAACTAGCCTGTGAGCTGTAGCTTCAGTGTACTGGTCCCTGTGCTAGGAAAAAGGGATAGTGAGGAATGGAAGTGGCTTCTGCACCAAAGGAACTCAAAGCCTAACCTGTCATTTTAAATATATTTATTTTTGGTGAGGGACTTGGTTTGCTTGTTGACTCATACCTGAAGACTTCAGAAACTTTTGCAGTTCAGTGGATTTATATATTTCAGGCCAAGGTCATTTGCTAACAATCTGTTACTCTGACATATAGGCCTTATTGATGAGGATACAGCTATAGATATCAAATTATTATATGACAAGAAATTTTGTTACATTATTTTTTTCCTCACAAGAGGTGCCTTGACTTTGAGTTTGAAGTTTTTGAGAAGTTTTGACTCAGAGGTGAACATATTTTCACTTGTGTTAAGTTTAAAAGAAGCTTAGTGGTTACGTATGTTACCCAAGAGTCACACAGCTAATAAGCAACAGAGCCAGAAAAAAATGGCCATAACTCAGTTCTCTTTTGAGCATCTACTTCAGGAGTCTGCAAGGCCAATGCCCACATGTATGGCAATAAGTAGGTGGACTTTGGTGAACTGGAGAGAGCACATGCCCAGTCTAAAGGGGGCAGTTGCTGCTCAGCTCCAGTTGCTTGTTGCCATGTAAGGAAGTAGGCCCAGTGTCCCTGGATCTTCTGAGTTTTTTGAAAAGGTGCTGAAAATCTGGGTCTTAATGTATTTAGTTAAAAAATTTGCCATCTAAAAAATTATCATGCAGAACAGAACACATTTTTGGGCTTTGTGCAATTCTAGGCTGCTTGATTGCGAACTCTGATATACCTGGCTGCTGAAATTTTAGTACCCATTGTTCAAAGTAGGAAGCACAACACAATGTAGTGATTATTGATCAGAAATCTCCTAGTGAATATCCAGCTTGAGGAGGTGGTGTAGCTTGTTATCTTTCAGAGAGTGGCAGGTTGATTGCTTTTATTATATAATCAGGCTAAATTTCAGGAGACATGAGATTTGGATGGCAAGATGACCTTTTACTACTTCTGTCTTGCACTCTTAGCACTTTAAATGCTACCAGATCTCTTGTCTCTTTTGATCCTCTCCACGTAGCATGAAGTGGTGTTGTAAATTTTGTTAAATGCCTTTGTATACTTTATTTCCTTTAATCTTCATAGTCCTGTGAGATAGGTGGTATTATAAGGGTGGTAATCATCACTTCTTGAGATGAAGAAATTGGCACCCAGTGCATCACAGTTTAACAGAAGGTGCACTTGAGTAAGAGTGAATCCTGCATACACCTATACCTATGGCACTAACAGCCTTTGGATTTTGGTCACGTTGCTTGTAAATCTTTGGATCTTTTTTCTCTTTTGGATAATATTGATGAGTGAGATTTAAGTCTTGCTGAGGTC